GCATCACCGATAAAAGTTTAACCATTTAAATATTACCGGTTATATTTAGCATATATTTATTAAGGGAATTGTGAATTAAAAACAACATCATCCAACAAATTACTTTCAGCAAAACAACTAAAAGCTGAAATATTAATTTAAATTAACTTTGTTTTAATTAATTTAACTTTAGCTAAAATTTTGCCTTAACATTTGTTAATTTTAGACCAATCTTGCTCTTACAAAATTATGTTACCTTATGAAAAAACGCACAGTAGGCTAAGGTATACACACTGGCCATATTAATGTGATACCTGTATTATGCCAACTTAGTAATTTGCCATCAAGCTGATTTTGACTTATGGTTTCCTCTTCCAAGGTTTCCTAAGTATAGGTGTTTAAAGTTAGCTACACCAGACAAGATGTAACAAAAAATGAATTAGCAGGAATGGTGAGAAAACGAAAAAATCTGACCTGATACAGTGGTAATCAGTCAGATTTGCAAATACTGCCCTATATAGGACAAGGAACTGCAGGAACTCTAGTTTTATCTAGGACAAGCAGTGTGCCAGTGTGCACACTACCCATTTGCTCCAAAAGCAGCTCTTAAAAATGTGCATTGGTCTGTGGGATGTTTATTGTGACATTCAAACATGGCAGCTGCTTGTGCTCTGGCTTGTTTCACCCAGAATAAGACAGAGACACAAAGCAAAGAACACAAATTTCGCAAGTGGCAACAAGCAGGATTGCAATGTCAGCCCACTGCTCACTGTCAGTTGAGTCTGTCTCCATAGTTCCTAGCTTATCCCAAAGTATGGAAATAGCTATTCAGTGTGGCAAAATTGATAATTTTTGTTTTTCCTTGGATTAAGGAACATACTTCATACAGTTTTGAATGGCAACTCGATTTAAAGTTTTCAAAAATGGGGAACGAACTTCTACTTATTTCTTTCTTGTTCTGAGGAGTTCTAATAAAGAATTAGTTTGACTGGTTGAGTCGAGCGTCAATGTCTGCAAGACCCTAAGAATTTGACCATAGAAACATCCTGACTTCCTTCCCTGCCAGCTTTAGAAAGCATGTAAAAATGCAAGTAGATAAATAGGTACCATCTCGGTGGGAAGGTAACATCGTTCAGTGTCTAGTCGCGCTGGCCACATGACCACGGAAACTGTCTACGGACAAACGCTGGCTTTACAGCTTGGAAACGGGGATGAGCACCACCCCCTAGAGTCAGACACGACTGGACTAAATGTCAAGGGGAACCTTTACTTTTACCTGCTTCATAAATAGATCTGGAGATCTTGAAAGCTTTCACATTTTTGTGACCTTTCAAGTGGCCAGGTTTTACAACAATATGTGTTTTAATTGCATTATTACGATAAAGTACAAGTACACTTCAAGAAAGCACAAATCTGCTAATTAATAACCTAACAAGTGAACAAGGAAAGACCTGATCATCAAGTCCAGTTCAGGTTGAGAAAGGCTAACGAAGAAGTTTTGAGGAAACAGTTGACCAAAGACAAGTGTTTGAGTTAATATATCAAGGTTGTGCCTTTAGGCATAGGAATTATTGCAAAGCACTGTATTAAATGCTACACTGAAATAACACGTTAATTCCACTTTCTGGTGATTGTGGAAGGTCAACGCCTCAGTAGAGGTGAAATGGCAGCACCCAGTGTGGAAGCAATGTTGGAACAATGCATAGCACAGCAGTGCTGTGTACTCAACAGTGGCCAGTCTTCATCACCGACTTTGTAGACATCAAACCATTTTTAATACAGCACAATAAATATTCACAACCATTAGTGACTTCCAAGGGAAAAGCCATATACATCAGATACTGCAAAAACAACAGAGCCTCATTCAAATACCTAGGAAACCCTATAAAACTGTCAGGAATCATTATTTAGGAAGTTTGGGAATGTATGCAACAGGCATCAAACATTTAGGAACAGCATGAGATTTTTCTAACTCCATGCTAAGCAAAATTCCTAGAAGACATTCTAATGGCATCACTTAACTAGCTGGACCAAGTTTAAGTATCAGACCTACAAAACTGAAAGCAGACCACCAAATCTTCATAAAGCTCCTATTCCTCCTATCCACTGCCTGGGATAAAGTGAAATTTTCAGTTACTTAACCAGTCACAATATAGAGTTTGGAAGGTTTGGTCTGTCCAGTGGACCATAGGTTTTTGGCTGTTTTAAAGCCTTCAACCATTTATGGATGGCAGAGGGGAAGAGGTAATAAAAATTAAAACAGTGGTGATCAGCCTTGATATCAAGGCATACTCTAACATATTCTGAACATGACCCAACTCTGTAAAACAACCTATTTCCTTATGAGAAGAGAGACACATAACAAATTTTGAAAAATATGATTTTATCTATTCTAAGTCTCTTGCATCACCAATACAACATCTCCACCAGGATTACATTAATTTCCCAATCATAATTCCCAATTGTAAGGCTCAAGCCACCATCCTGTTACCATAATTTCTTTTTCTAAATACAGAGATGCTCCAGCTTCTCAATCCAACCATGGAGTTTTATTTACATCCCTCTTTTTGCTTTTATACATACAAGAACTATCCCATCCTCTTATAGCAAGGAGAGTCTCATTTCTATGGTTTTCCACACGCAACCATACAAATCCAGAACCATGTTCTTGCAACACTTCCATATATTTACTTTAAAGCATGTGTTCATCACTTTTTGCCAGTTCTCTACATGATGCTTGTTATTGATAAGAAATCCCCTAAAAAGTTTCCCTCTTGGACACAAAGCCGTTCACAAGCCTTCCTTTGACCAATTCAAGGCATTTCCAAGTCCAACCAACCTTTCCAAATAATCTCTGACATCTCCATGCTCACTGTTTTTCAGAAGCAAATCCGGATATGAGCCATGCCCCGCCAATTCTCCTCCATTCCATCCAATGTCAACCTATCTTACCGTTTTTAAGATCACACTTGCCTAATTCTTTTTTAAAAATATTTGTATGCTTTCTGCTTTTAAATATCATTTAAAACAACGTAAGCCGCCTTGGGTCCCTTTAAGGAGAAAGGTGGGGTAAAAACATTTAAAATAAATAATAAATACAAATTCTCAACTTCTTGACATTGCAACCAATGTTTCTCCCAGTTGAGGTTGATGCTACTAAAGGTGCCACCCCCCAACCTTGGGCTCCCAGCTCCAAACCCCCTCCAACCCTAACCTTCCCCCAAAACCTACAACCCTCCATTCTTGACACCCTCATTAAGACCCCATGCAACCCCACCCCGCATCTCCTAAACTCCCAGTTGCCCATCATCCCAATCCTTCCTCCCCAGTCAACCCACTGACTCCCAGTACACCCAATACCTTCCAACCCAGAAGCCCCTCAACCCTTGAAACCCAATACCCTTCTTTAAGTGCCC